TGGATTAATGATTGTGCATTGAGCACTGACTCCCCTATACAGAATTTTATTGTTGTTAACAACCATTTGATCAATAAATATGAGAGATGCCCTCTCAAAAAAAAAAAAAGAAGCATGAATAAACAAATATGAACAATTTCACTTTCAAAAGAGTAGAAAGAAAAGAAGAAAAGTCATTGAAGGCAAAATTAAATGAAGTGACTACTAATAAATTTGGAAGGAAAGAAGTTATAAGGATGACTACAAGGACATTTTCAGATTCTCTCTGCCCAATCAGAAATAACTTGCCAAGGCCCAGAATATCCATAAAGAAACACTGGTCTATGCCAAAAGCAGTACAGAAAAAATAACATGATAATATAATACATAAAATATGTATAAGTAGACCTAATGTTTCAAGTAAAAATTTTACAAAAATAAATATCTTTAAATATGTTCTGTTTTGGTCACTGTAATTACTGAAACTGCATAGTAGTAATTACCAAAAAAAAATGATCAGGGGCTGATAATAACACAAGTTTCAGAATCTACATCTCCTCTGACTATTACTTATTTTTGTCCCAACTACAACATTTGGATGATCCAGTTTCTTTTCCCACATGTTTTTCTATACTTATGTGTTTTTCCACATGATTGATTTCTAAAATATTCAAATACTGGAGATCGAAACATTTTGCAATAAGAAGAGCTATTTTTCTTTTTCTTTTGGAACCTCTAAAGGTTTTGTTTTAGCATTTATTTTCTAACATTTAATAAGACTTTTCTGATAACAGAAAAACCAAACTTTAACACACTAATTTTAACAGATTAAATCTAAAATTCTGTACTTAAAAATAATATTTTCATTCTATTAAATTTTAAAAATGTATAATTATTACAATTCAGAATATCTAACATTTTTGTATACTTATATTAAAAAAAATCCAAATATGTTTGCTCTAAAAGGGCTGCATATGGAAACTAAGATATTGATTCTCAAATGAAATTATTTAGAACATAAAGTAACACTTTAGAAAAGGAATATAGAGAGGGATATTCACCATTTGGTCATATAAATCAATTAATAAAACATGTAAGAGTCTGCCTTACAGTGAGTGTACATGTATACACATATGTATAAAAAATATATACATGAGTTTACATACAGAGATAACCATTTTTACCAATTTATTCTAACTCCCAGAATAGGCTTTTAACTCAAATTAACAGAATACTTATAAAAGAACGGATCATATAGAAGCCATTTAAAAATCCTACCTGTAAATAAAAATGTTTCAATAAATGGACCACAAAAATAAAACTCTAAGCTAAATGTTATATTAAATATTAAATTCAAACATTAATATGAAACAAATACTCAATATTTATTCAGAAATTGTATTCCAGGTTATTTAAATACAATTTTTTAAGTTATACTCTGGCAATTTTGAACATCTAAAGCAAGGTAAATCAGATGCAGATCTTGAAGTCAACCTACAGCTTACTGGGTTTACTTACACTTTTTGAACAAAAGTATCTAGTTTCAAAGACAGAAATTAAACGCTAACAGAAAAGACCACAAATTCAGGAGAAGCTATGAGAATCATGCCAATGGGTAAATGATACTCTTTCTGCTCTGCCTCCAAGAAATCAAGGTCTACCTATCTAAATGATAATATGCATCAAGAAGGATAAATATAGCTAGTTTTCTTAATATAAGCAACAATCATGATAGGGTAAGAAGAAAACCTTAAAGAATTGTTAAGTATCAATGTTATGTATAACAAATACGCAAAGTAACAAATAATATCAAAGTATTTAAATGTGACCACAGTTCTACCGAGTTCCAAAGGATGCTATTATGTTCAGTAACTTCAAAGCACAATGTTTGGCGGAAACATCTCCTTTGTGCTGAAAGTATCAATTCACTGATTTACAAATTCTTACATTTGCAAAATTAAATGTTGCCTGATTAAAGTTAGAAAATGATTTAAATTGAATAGAATACAACGAAAGAAAAGATGAACAGAAAATTTCGTTCTACTTCAACACATCAGGGGCCATTGTAGGCCAGTTAAAATTCACAAACAAAGCTAATTTAGGAATAAAGATGTTAACTCTTTCCATAGTACTATCAGGGTATCTCCCACTACAGGTATGGACAAGTCTGTTTTGAAAAAGTTCCACAGATGGTTTCAGTTGTAAAGACATCATTTACTACTATAGACAGGATTATTACAGTCAACAGTCTCATCTGTGCCCTAGCTTTAATTACCATCTACATGTTGACAACTCCCAAACTTACACCAGACCTTTTCTCTGAGCTACAAACCAATATAGTAAATCTATTAGCAAAGTCCTGCTAATTGTTGACTATTTCTCAAAGAGATGTCAAATCTATCAACTTCTTTCCATCTCCACCAATACCACCCCGGTCCAAGTTACTATCATCCTCCCCTAAACCAGTGCCAATGCTCATTGTTGCTACTCCTGACCCTTCTATAGAATCCACTCTCTGCTCAAACACCAGAGTGACCTTTAAAATAATGAAAATTACACCATTTCACTTCCCATTACTTACATAAATTTCTTAACCTGGAATATAAAGCCCTACATAACCTAATCCCTGCCTACCTCTCTTACCACAGTTTGTATCACTCTTACCCTTACCTACTATATTCCTGCAACACTGGCTTTTTTTCTTTTCTTCTAACACACCAGCCTTTTCCCATCTTAAAGTCTTTGCACTGGCAGTTCCTTCTGTCTAGAATGCTCTTCACTCTTATCTTTACTTGGTTTGTTCCCTTCATATCATTTATATCTCAGTTTAACATTTCACCCCAGTGAAGTCTTTATCCAATCACTCAATCTAAAGCAGCCTCAAATCATTTATTTCAAAATATTTTTAATATTGTCTGTACAATGTACATCACTATTGGAAACCAATTTATATATGCCCTTACCTTTAAGGGGAAAAAAAGTATATCTCCTCCTTTCCTCTAAAGCTTCTGTGAAAGCAAGTCTGCTTGTTGATTGCCTTAAGTCCACTAGCGCCTAGGATTATAAATGCACTCAAAAATAACTGGCAAAATGAAACTGCATGTACCTACTTGATTGACATCTCCATTTAGATGTTTTAAAGGCAAAGGCAAATATAAAATCCCTAAAAGGATTTTTATGATCTCCCTTCTTCCTAAAAACTTTGGTCCTATGTTCTTGTTCTTCCCATCTAAGTGAAGAGCACCAACACCCAACCAGAAGCATAAACCACTAAGTAAGAGACATCTTCGAACATCCTTCCCTGTAAAGTTCAACTGATCTCCAAGTCCTATCATTAATTTGTCTTTTAAATATACTGAATATATCCACTCTGTCCCATCACCATCCCATCCACTGTCTAAATTACCATATCTCAGCTGGATTACCAAACTAACCTATTCATTTCTCCTTAGGCCTCCCTCCAATACATTTGCTACAATGCAGCTATATTATTTAAATACAATCTGATATAATCAAATACAATCATTTTCCTATTTCATATCCTTTAAACAGCCTGTCTTAAATTCTCTAGTTTCATTCCTCAACATTCTCCCAGCCATTCATTGATTCATTCAACAAATATGAGTACCCACTAAAAGACTGATACAAAACGGACAAAGGTCCTGATCTCACAAAGTTTATAATCTAGTAACTGAGGTTACACCAAATAAATCAACAAATAAGTCACACAGTAATCAGTAATAAATACTAAGAAAAAAAAAAAAAAAAAAGAAGGGTAAAGCCATAGAGTAACAGCTCACCCTAGGGGCATAATGGAAAATTGTGGGAATATTTTCGGGTTGTCCCAAAAATTAGAGGATTTAGTGGGTGGGGTCCAGGGATGCTGATTGTCTTTTAATACTGGACAGTACCACAAAGAATTGTTCTCATCCCCTAACATCGTCACATGTCCATATGGGTGAAAAACCTACTTATAATTAGCTACACGCTAACTCCATTTTACATACAAAGAAGTTTTGTATGATTTTAAAATACAGTAGATTGCCCAGGAATGTGAGAGAACACTACTTTGTTTAGTTTACAACTTCACTAAGAATTTTTCACCATTTTAGAAAATCAAATCACCCAGTAATGCAACTTAGTAATGTGAGTCAGAAATATAAAATAAGTGTTTAACTTTGTATTTGTAGCTTTTTATGTGTAGCCATCTACTTCATCGTGCCTTCTAAAATTGATGCTTGGGGTATTTATATTTTTAAATATATATAATTTATTATAAAGTATTTTCATTTTATTTCTTTCTCAAATTATAGTTACAGTATTTATTTGATTTATGTATGTAGGAAGAGTATATTCACTAATTCATTTATTTGGAAGATATTTATTGAGCATCTACTTACATTCTAATCACTATACTAAGCACTTTGGATATACCAGTGAATAGAACAAATATCCTGACAAAACAGTAATAAGTAAATAAAGTATTTGGTTTGTTAGAAGAAAAAGTGGAGCAGGGTAAAGTGGATTAGGGATACTAAAAAGGTGGAGTGCAGAATGCAAAATTAAAATTAAATAGCGTGATCAGTAGGCTTCACTGGAAAGGTGAATGCTGAGAAAAGCCATAGGTTAAGTGAGATAGTCAAGTACAAAACAGGTAAAATCCATAGGCTAAGAACATCTATGGCATTATCAAGACAAGTTAGGAGTCCACTGTGTCCATACTTCCTCCGAAATATCTATTACATCTTTATATGGTAATAGATTTTCTAAGTCTCTTCAATAACTAAATTGTAAGTCCATTAAGTCAGAGACCATGTTTTCTCATCTTAGTATTTTCAATATTTCACACAGTATCAAACACACAGAAGATTAATTAATCATTTGCTTTATGAGGAAAATTAATTATGACAAAACCAGAAATGTTTTCTGAGGCAACTGAGAAATAAATCTCAGAAAAATAAGATTAAAACTAAAAGCCAAAAAAGAATGAAATGACATCATCATAAAGAGAAAAGAAAAGGCAGTAGATTAAAATCCAAAAAATTTCCAAAGGTAAAATTATTAGGCCATGAATGGATTGAAAGTAAGAAGATAAACTTAAACTATGATAAAATCTCCAAGCTACTGAATTTTCATTCATTCCATTTGGCTTTCAATAAAATATATTATATAATATAACCTACCTATAGTTTTAGTTACTGAAATGTTTCATCTGCTTTAGACTAAATATTCTTTTACTAAAACATATACATAAAGCTTTTCACACAGTGGTAAAGTTGATTATAACAGATCACAGACTTCAAGACTGACAGAGTTGAAGGACAATTTAGAGACCATCTATCCCAAGTCTCTCATCTTGGAGATGACGAACTGAGTATGAGAGAACTGAAATGATCTGTTGAAGGTCAGAGCAAGTTAGTGATGTATCTGCTAGATTTACTATTCTGTTTATGAGCAGGTTTCAAAATGATTTGTATAACTTTTTAAATATTAAAACTATGACTACCATACTACTTCAAGGATAATGGCAGCAGGATCAACGTCTAAATGCACTACTGGGCTAGGTCAGAATACAATCATATTGTTAAAATTATATATTTAAAACAGCAAATTGAAATTCCACTTAAGAAAATCCAGATAGCAAAAAACAGAATTAAATAAAATAAACCAAGAATTTGATATAGTTCCTTCTGCTTAACAGTAAATATTGGCATTAGTATCCTGTTGTCTCTCAAACTAAGATACTCCCCCAGACAGTATCTAAAATCTGTATCTAATTGTGCTTAAATAGTCTCAATCAAATAAAGATGAAGGAACTTTCTAGTAATAGAACAGGGATTATGTTATAATCAATAATTATATGATAGTAAACTATACTTTGTACATATAAAGATAGGGAATGAATTATTAGTCCAGTGTATACTTCAACATGTTAAATGAAATATGTTGAATCACTAATCTGAAATTAAAGAAAATAACCTTACAGCATTAAAACCCCACACCTGAAAGACTTACCATTTTATCTAGATGTTCAATGGATCTATAAATCTCCCCCTGGGATTCATCATAGTAACTGTAACGGAACCTTTGACCTTGAAACAAATATCATGTACAAAATAAAATAGGGAAAAATTAGAAGCTAAAAAGAAAGCAAGCGCTTACCAAATAATTTCAGTTCTCACGGAAGGCAAAGCACAGCTTAAGCCTCTGGGAGAATCATTCCCAAGAGCCCTTGTACATGAAAATAAAAGGCGTATTTGGGAAGGTAGTAAAGAAATGATATATCATCAGTGTTTTATGATGTTAAGAACTATTTCAAATTGTAGAACCTTAAAGTCACAAGCATTACAAAAGACTAAGGAAACAAAACAGCTTAAAAGTTAGAAGCATTGTTAAACATATAATAATCAGTCTATAATAGAAAGTAAACCTGAAGAATATGATTTAAGAAAATGTGGTTTAAGGAACTACCTCAATGTAACAAATCAATGAAAGCTTAGCCTTTGCTGCACATATGCAAAGATTTGATTTCTGTTATTTGATCTCAGAAAAAAATGTGTTGTTCAGAGATAGATGTGGCTTGTATAATTTTCATGATCTTGATTTAAAAAATTAATCTCAATTTTGCAAAACTATCTACTTGGAAAAGGATCAGTACAAGTGCCTTAAAATAGGAAGCACAAAGGATAAATATAATAAATGTCCTACTCTTGACAATGAAATCTCAGGAAGGTACAAGTAAGAACATTCAATTCAATATTTAGCTGTTCTCCAAAGAACAGAAAGGGCAAAATGGAAGAAGCTTAAAAAGAAGACAGAAAACAGAAAACAAAAGGCTCAGAAAAATTTTTCTCCCTACTATAACTGTATGAAAACTACTGTGAATTATTATTCAGCTGATTATGTTTTATTTCAGATACATCTAAACCATATTTCAATAATGTCTTTATTTTCAAGAACTCATTACTTCTATATTTCCTTAATTTTAAAGATTCACCAAAATGCGTTTCAAAATGTATTAGAGTACACCAATTACATAAGCACACACTATGTGTCTCGGGCTCCATTTTGTGGAGCAAAGGTCACATATCCAATTATCCCCACACCTGAGGAGATGGGTTTCTTTTGGCTGGATAATTATGATTTTTAAGTTTTCTGTTTTTCTTACTAAAAAAAAATCACTTATAAATAATGAGCAGTGCAAATTTGTAAAACCCTTTCAATTTCCTTCTTTGGAAAAAACATACAGTTCTTAACACTTCATTTCCTTGCTGATTATCTTTAATGGTCACCTTTCTAAAATATACCATTTTTCCTTAACTTCATATTTTAACTTTTCACATACATTGTATGAACAATTACTCAATGTGACGGTTCTTACTTTCCCCCAAGTGCCATTACTAAATCAGTATTACATCTTACAATTCATGATATTCTAGACTCAAGCTAAGATTCTGAGGCAATTATCTGCTTTCCGAATATAACCTTTTTTTTGTAAATACTAAAGATTGCTGCATGTTGTCATTAGTATAAGATCCATTACACTCCTTGCACTAAAAAAAAATTCTTAAATAGTGACAATTCAGCACTCAATGCCCCTATATTAAATAATTCATCAGACAGTTCTTTAAAAGTTTAGAGTTAGGTATGGCTTTGTTTTTCTTTAAAGAATGTATGTACTTCCTCCTACCTAATAATGAGCACTATATAATGACCTATTGTTCCTCTTTGCCAGGTGGCTCTCAGAAGGCTCAAAGCCTGATCTAAAATTTGTCACAGTAACTGACTCAATTAATTGATACTAAATTTCTACTTCTATTTCAAAGTTCTTTTGATAAACTGACCAAAATCTTTTGTGAAATGAACAATTAAATGAATAATCTTAGATAAGAAAATTCTGACTCACTGTCACTGTAGTAAGAGCAATAATATCCTCAGAAGAAATCAAGATGAATATTCTTTGAACCTGAACTGCTTCAGATTAATTCTAATGCACTCTTTCTAATGAACATAGCTGTTAGTTATACCTGTTAATAGCCCTGTGGATGGATTATAACTGTCTTATCTGAAAACTGCTACTCTCAGGTGCAGAGAAAAATGCATGTACTTTGTGACAGCCATGGCCACTCAAAAGTCTTTTCTGCATATTTCCAAGCCCAGAGGTGCTGTTTCAAATGGTTGAAGTTGTTCAAACCTCCCTTAATCTTAAGTGAAAAGTATAACTGTATTTTAGAATGCTGTCTGGATCATGGACCATTTTCAAAGTAACTTTCACTTAAAAACTACTTCTAAAGTATAAGAAAAATAAAATGTCTGAAATACTTTAAAATACTAAATCAACACATGTGATCTAATAAGAATGACAAAATACACAGAAAATCAATGATCAAATGTTTAATATTCTATTATCTACCTTTGCTATTCTTTAGTACCATCTCACAGTTAGTAGCTAAAGAACTGAGAAGAAATATTTCATGACCTCTAAGGAATATATGAATTAAGAAGCTAAATCTATCCTACATGTAGCCACTGCACTGAAAAAATACCTTACCTGTAACAGATCAAACTGTCTAATGATATTTAATTGAACAAATATTTAAAAATTATTTGGGTAATTCATTCTTATCAATATACATACAGAAATATACATACAGATTAGAAGCATCTAATCTGAAGTAAATAGTTGCCATCATCCTAGCCTATACATGTATGCACACATGAACACATACGACTTTAGTAAAACACCTCTTGGAATTCGAGTTCAAAAAAATCTCTTCTTGTTTGTAACTATTTAAAAGAAAAGGTTTACCATTATTTTATTTAATAAGAAATAAATGACAACACTGGTACAATACGCTGACCATTAATGTATCTTTAATGTTTATTGTTGATTTAAAATATATTATGATTTCATGTACCTCATGAGCAGATGTGTTTTGCTTCGTAATATTTCTAAATTCAGTAAAGCTCATGCATCTAAACTGAACAAATACAGTTTCCTATGTACCTGGAGAATTGGACTTGTGTACTTTTATAAGTATGAATAAAGCATATCACATAGTAAGAGAAAATTACTTACCTGAAACTTATCCTTTCAGAAGGTACACTGGGAAAATGGATTCTTTGAGCCCCTGTTTCAACTCCAAGTATGAGCTTTCTAGCTTTAAGAGCCATTGACACTGCCCCTAGGGGCAGTACAAGCTTTGGAACTCCCCTAGTGAGTATGTCAGTAGTTTCTTCAGGTGCCTTCCCTCAAGTTCTTTTCAAATTCAAAAGATGAGAGGAAAAATAACCCAAGAAAAAAAATCCTGTAAAGCAGAAACCTTACTCTTTGAGGAAAGGAGGGTAGCTCATTTGTGAATCCATTCCAGAGCACGCTTTCTGAGAAAAAGAAATACAGGTAAGTAATTTTCCCATCTCCAAAGGTGACTGGTGATTAATGAGTGGATTCACAGAGTGTGGAGAATAAGCTCCAGGGATGTCTATTTAACATACAACAATCAACTAATGAGGACAAACATAACAATGAATGGTACAAGAACCAAGACTACTTTTTAAGTACCTCAAAACAAAAAGTAAAAAATATTAAATACCTCAACATTAAGCTATATACTGTATTGTAGAAATAAACAATGAATTTATAAAGCTGATCTGTAAAGTCTCCAAAAGATCAGTCAATAAGACAGACTTTCAGACATATGTCTAGTAAAAATAGAACTGTTATATATTCACTTAATCACTTTATGTTTATATATTAAAACGTTTTCAAATATTTGAGAGTTAAAAATCACAACCACCTGTGGGATGAATTAATAGGCCATTTTATTCTAAGGACCTAAAGTGGGAATATTCATAATTGAAATCACTACCAAAGCAAAAATGTACTTCATAAAGGAAATATTATCTAAGCAGCATCAAATAAGGTAATCATTTTTATAAGCAAAATACTATAATCTTTTCATTCTGAAGTCTTAATTATAATGTAAAAGTATCAGCCTTCTCTCAAACTTGAAAAAGATCAAAACCTAAATATATGAAATCAATATGTACAAATATTTGAGAAGAGAAATATTAAAGCTTGGATAGGATGTATTTCAGAAATTAGCTAACTTATACTCGAACTGATATAAATATTTAGAAAAGAGTAAGACCCTAGTACTCAAGGGAGTAACAACAGAAAGGGAGATAAATATGCATGAATAATCACTTAAATAATTTACTAGATAACAGCTAATGATAAACTAGTTAATAGTAAACTAGAAATCCAAATAAAGATATAAATTTCATAAGTATTTAGGGGAATGCCATTGCTAATTAGTGGCACATATTTATGAAAAAGAAATTGTGTGAATCTGGACAAATATATTTATAGATAAAAATCCAAAATTGCTAAAGTGACTACAGTAAACTTTGTATTTTAACAAAATAATTTATTATCAACATTTACTGAGTAAATTTATTGAAACTGATTTTTTACTTAGAGCCACCAGAAAAGGAAAATTAAATGGAAGCATGAATCAACTTCAAAAGAATCAATTTCTGTTAGATCCAGTCTCATTTAGATACTTCTTAGATCACTGAAAATTAAATTATTTCAATTAATGAAAGCTGTCAATTTTCTAAGTTTGGAAATATAAATTTCAGGGAGGTCAGAAAAACACAAATATTAACAGTATATATGGAGAAGAATAAAAATGAAACAGGAAAATAGAATGAAAATTTTATTTATTAGAAAAACTAAGAGGTTGGGATAAAACTCCTTATTTGAAGAGATCTTATAGAATGTTAGAATTTGATAAATATACAAAATACAGGGACAACATTACCTAATCATAGTAAAAATCAAACACTAGCAGCTAACATTCTTTTATTCATACTGATAGTAGCCAAGGAAGGGTCATTGTGTTACCAGGGAAACATTGTCTTATTGGGCTGACTAATGCATTGTCATAAGATAAGACTATGGATAAAAGACAAATTGAAATGCATGGTTTGGGGGAGGAATTTATAAATGGGGATAGAAAAAGAATGCATAATAGAGAGTACATTTCCCAACTCTCCCTTGGCTTGTCTCACTGAAAAAGACAACTGGGAAGTATTTTAGTCTTTCTACTTTTTATCTCTCTGTCTCTTTCAAGTCTTAATTAAAGTTAAATGGGATCTGAAAGATGAACATCTTTAAAGCAAAATACATTTCTTTAAAAAAGTCATTCTTGTAACGTACATTGACTAACAAATAAGGTCAACCAGGCAAAATCCTTTCAATTACATGTAAGTCTCCGAATGTCTGTATCACCAATGTTCTCATTTTATTTTTCACAGAGGCTGGACAAAAATATAAAGAGAAACAGGACAGGCAAAATCCTTTCAATTACATGTAAGTCCCCGAATGTCTGTATCACCAATGTTCTCATTTTATTTTTCACAGAGGCTGGACAAAATATAAAGAGAAACAGGGCTAGAAATAAAAAATGTAGTCACTGCCAATACTCTAATATATTACACAATAAAACGAGAATAAAATTCTCCTGTATCTGAGTAATCTGTCAACTTATACCATAATCAATTAAGTGATTTTTCTTCAAAAATCAGCTATTTAGAAATGTGGAGTGTGTTAAGAATCTAACTCAATGAAACTTTTAAGGTCTCTGAGTACTTAAGAAACGGAATCCTATCCTTTCTGTGAAATGATATAGTATTCAGTGCAATCATTACTTCAGTATGGTAAATTCAATCTGTATAGTATCTTTAAAAAAAGGAAGATGAGGAAAAAAACCACTAAGGATTATCTTCATGAGAAAAACCTAGATTTCTGAGATGGGAATATAGCAATCATTAATTTAAGAAAGATGGCCAGTGCCACTAGAGCATAACCTTGAGAAACATGAAACTTAATTTCTAAATAAAGACATTTTAAACCATAACTAGTCATTGATTCATATAACTTCATTCAACAGGCATATAAAATGAATCTACTTAACAAGAATGACAGTTACTATAGTAGAAGGGAGACTACCAATTCTGAAATAGTATCTGTGCCAACACCATCCACTTACCCCAGATCTGCATCAAATTTCCTAATAAGAATTAGTGAAGTGCTTTCCACAAGAATAAAACAAGCACTTAATGAGTATTGTTAGTAACAGTGATACTAAAAAAAATAAACTCTTGGAAAAGTTCTATTAACCACCAAATGTAAATATAAATATGCTTAGTTTCTGGATTATTACCCTAGGTAACATTTATCAACCTTTGTAAATTTTGAATCTTTTTTTTGTAACTATTAACAGGAAATCCTATCTTACAATTTAAACATCATAATTTCCCAGAAATTAGGATATCAAATGGCCTAAATAATTTTCTGAGAATCAAGATAGAAAATAAAACTAATAAAATTCATTTTTCTCTCTAACCATTGTACTGAAATATAGTAATGGATGAGGGTTTGTTTATTTTAGAATATATTAATGAGGTAAAAAGGATGTTTCCACAGAAAACAGCAATATTAAGGTATCTACTAATGTTTTATGTGGATTTATGATGTGGTTACTCATGGTGCCAACCTAGTGGGAGAGCCTAGACTCTAAAGAACAGTATCAGTGGAACTGATTAAATCATAAAGTGATTTAAAGTGATTCATAAGAGCCTTATGCGAAGAGAAAGAGGACACATGCTTCAAGAATTTTTCATTTCTAAAACATACAGACATGCTCTACTACCAACAAGAATACACAATACTAAAAAAATAGCCCATTTTTTATAATGATTCTAGTTTTTAAGATCAACTATTACTAAACTTCAAATTTCCCAAGAGCTTTTTCTACATAACCTAGCTCTCAGATCTAAGTAACATATTTAAATCCACAAAAAATAACTTATGCCAAAGGCACCCAATCAGCCAACAGGATTTGTCATTGAAGAACCGTGAGCACCTCCTAGGGAGTTTGGAGAGGTAGCATGGCTATCTGTACACCCTTAACCAGGCTTCCCAATCTCAGCAATACTGACAGTGGGCAGGGTAATTCTTAGATGTGGGGGGCTGCCCTGTGCAAAGGATGTTGATTTAGCAGCTTCCCTGGACTATACTCACTAGAGGCCAACAGCAGTCCCCACCTCGCACCCCATCCCCCCCCAGTTGTGATGACCAAAAATGTCTCCCAACATTTCCAAATGCCCTCTGGGAGGACAATCAGCCCCACATGAGAAATGAATGCCTTAAACAAAAATACTACACTATTAGGGAGGATAGTTATCCTGAACTGAAATCTCAAGGCCACTCATAACAAGAGGTAAGAGAAGAAGATACCAGCCTAATGAAGCCAGATAAATACTGAATCAACTCTGGCAATCTATGTGGAAGACACAAAAAGCCACAGCTCGCTATATCTCAGTGAGGATGTTTTTCGGGCCATACTAGCACTCTATCTTAAAATTAACGGTCTTGTGCTTTATGTTCTCCCTAAAATCAAAGAAATAACAAGAATGAACAGATACTCACATCCTTTAACCAATGAATAAATAAGTCAAAGAGATGTCCCAAAAGGAATAAGATATTCAGAAATACTCTAGAAGAGTAATGAATAAATAAGAGCAAACTGTATCCAAAGAAATCAGAAATAACAAAATTCCCTAAAAAGGGCTCCACAAATGTCTCATTTCTTTTACTTTTACTATTCACTATTTCTTTTACTATTCACTGTGAAGCTTCCTTTTTCTTTTAATTCACAGTAATAGTAGAAATTGCTTACAGGTCCTTACCCTTATAAACCATTACCAGTAAAGACCACAGTGGTACAAGCCTCATGTTACAGTCTTTGGAGGGCAGGTCTAAACTTGGCAACTCTGGACAAAAATTAAGAACCAAAGGAAAAATAGAAAGAGAAAAAGACTAATTACAAAAAAGGAAATGTGCAAAAGGATTGGCATAGCACACAGTGCTCTTCTACATTCTAAAGAAGAGCATATTTTATTTACCAAAAAACTAACTTCAGAAAATCCAACACACAACTCTACCTGGAAATGGGGTTAAAAGATCTTAACTCCCACTAACATAAGTATCTAAGCAAGGATGCCCTCACAGTGTGAATCCAGTTATACCAGTCGCCTTTGGAAATGTATCCATAATCCACTATCATAATCTGATCCTTTTTAAATGACCAGAAGACTTTTTAATTCACTTTTTAACATTACTGCTAAAAGTAAAACTTTCCAAGGAAAGTGATAAAGAACTGAAAAGCAGAGCTAGGAATGAAAAGATACCTTTAACGACAAGTATACAATATCTACCATGATATGTTAAAATCTAGAACTTACCCCAATGGCAGAAATCAGAAGAAACCACAAAGAGATTACTAGGATCCGCTAGATATTTACTGAAGAGTTTTCCGAATTCCTGTTCTTTTGACTCACTCAGAGCTCCAACCAGTACAGGAATAATGGTAAACTCATCCTTATGGCTTAAAGAAAACAGAAAAAAAAAGTCATTTAGGAAGTACAAAAATAAAAATAATTGTCCAATGTGTTGGCACTAAAAAGTGGAACATTTATTAATAGTGGTAAGGATAATATACATAATACTGTTGAATTCTTAAAATCTATAAATTGTTTAAAGAAGACCATTTTTTAAAAAGATGAGAAGTATAGAATACTAAAAATATCTATTTAAATCATAGAAATGTACAATACTTCTTTAGGTAAACAAGGCTCTTATACTACCAGGTAAAATAATATCTTCAAAAATAAAAATAAGCCCATCAGACCATCACCAAGTCAAGTCTTCTCAACTACCCATCAAAGCGTCAATCATCTACCCAATCCTTCTCCAATTTTAAAAGAGCATTAAACTCTTTCTCACCTATTAACCCTATCCTATTATAAATACCACCATTTCTGGCACTTGTTTTATGAACCTGCCAAGTGAGACCTACAAAACTTAATCTTGGCTCCCATAGAATCACCAACTGCACCTTACACCTATACTAATAAAAGCAGATACAGGACAGTCTGAAGATACAACTCAAATTTCACTGGTGGACATAGAATTCAAGGAAGTAGATATTAATTTCTAACAGCAAGAAAAAGACAACATGCCCACCCACAATGTTTATGGCATATCCACAAGTCCCTTTTTCATTCTACAGATTGACAGATTTATGGAAAAGGAACAGAGCAGATTAAATAAAGAATAACTATGGCAGGCTACAGAAACAGATGTTTATCCAAAACCTTTAAAAACTTTCATTGTAGTGAAATTTTACTTACATATATTCAATATTATTTATATTCTAAATGATCCCAGATTTGGAATTTTAGAAGCGTGAATCATGTTTGTCTGACTTGCTCTGAACAGGACTTTAAAAAAAAAAAAAATCACCATTATAATAAATGCTTTTTAATAGGATAATCTGACACTTAACTGATGTAGGGCAAACAGAATTCATAAAAGGATTTTTTTAAATACTAAATTTAAGTATTCCCAAAATAAATGATAGCCCAGCTTGATAAAGCTAAATTCAGGGCACCCAAGCGCCTCCCCCATAAAGGCCCCCTTACCCTTGTCAATTGCGAAATAAACAGATCATACAGATCTCCAGTCCCTCTGCAATGCAGGGGCTTCTTGGGCAGAATCTGCATCTATGGAGTAAGAAAAAAAGAGGAAGCTGGCAGAGGAAGCTGCCATGGGATATTTCTTTCTCTGACTCTTACCAGTTTGCTTAACAACTGCATGAATGAATAGGGGCTCTTCAATAAGTTAAGAGTCACTGTCATTTGAAAGAAAAGAATTCGAGCTCTAGTAAAAATTCCAGAAGACTGTTATGAACTATTCTAATTTCAAGTACTACCTATATAAATAAATACACTAAGATCATCAAAGATTCTGCAAGTGGTTATGACATGAGAGAGAAGCAGTTACACAGAGCATAAAAAACAAGAAGTCAGAAGAAATGGGCTCAGGGCATCTCTGTCACATACAAATGTTGAAAGCATGGGTAAGTCACTAACCTAAAAATGTATTTCCTTATCTGTAAGATGATTACAATTACAATACCTATTTTGTAAAACTGTTGCAAAATGAGGAATACCATATGAAAGTATTTTGTCAGCAATAGCTGGTACACTCTGAAGAAACATCACTTCTGCTCTCCACAAGACCCATGGAACCATTTAAGCAACCTCAGTTTAAGCCTGAAAGTTTGTCTATCTATGTATGCAGAGGTAAGTCCCATGCTACTTGGAAATCTAAGCTTTGAATCAAGATTCATCCATTCATCTCTTCATCATTTCTATTTTTAAAAAATTACCTGTTGTTCTTTATCCCATAAAGCATGAATTAGAGAAAAGAGCACTCTGCTTTGAAATGTAATATCCTAGGTTTTAGAAATCAGTTTGTGACGCTGGTGTTCCCCAGTGAAGGAGTACAAAATCTTGCCCTCAAAAAACAATTATAAAACTGAACAGAACTGTCAGAAACAACCATTTCATGCTCCAGAAATCAACCAAAAGCAAAAAACACAGTGAGAAGAATTTATTCATGAAAAATAACTGAACTTCTCGAGAAGAACTGTGGAAATCTGGCATCTTACCAGTGGCTGTCTCTATCCCCCTGCCCAACTCCACCAACATGGTAGTTTCAGCAAGGGGAGGTTGGCTCTGAAAACCAGCTGCAGGTAGCCGACTTTTATTTACAGCAGAGAGCAGAAAAGCCACACACCCAGAACACAAACTCCTGCGGCTCTTGTAGCCTGAGATTTGAGGAAAACCACAAACCTGAGGAATACCTAGAAATTAACAGGGAGACCTTGGAAAGAAAGGATAGAGTCACAGAGGGACTTGGTAAATTCACGTATTCTGAGGAGAGGACTAACGTGCTCCATACAATCCTGACCAGGAGGCAGTACATATGTGCAGGAGACCCATAAGAAACCAAGCTCCCCCAGATGCTGGCTAACTGAGAGGGTGACGGCACACGAAAGGGGAAGTGGAGACCTAGGAGCAACCATGCTCTCACATATCCCCAGATGACTGGAATTCTGCAGGCACACACAGGAAGACCAGAGAAGACCCAACAGGAAGCGAAGGAGGCAGCCTTGAAAACAGCCTGATCTTTGAATGTGCTCCCCAGCACACACACACAATCTGCCAGCAGAGGGTGAAAGCTTTATTTACTGGCTTGAGTTGTTCAAGCACAACCTCCTAGCTAAGCACTAATCAATGCAGACACAGGGGCAAATTCTAGAAAGCCAAGGTAAAAAATATAAACAAGAATTTTTTTAAAAGCTGAGGAGATACACCAGTAGCCAGACACTGCAGGAAAGACAGATTCTGCAGATAGTGTCCATGAAAGTTACTTTTAAAAGAAGAAACCACCACTACCACACCACTACCACCTTCAAGAAAGTAAAATCAGAACTGAGTTGCTATAATATGCTATGTAAAAAGTCCAGTTTCAAGAAAAAGTCATGAGCCAAAGACACAGGAAGTGTGACCCAGTCTCAGGAAAAAAATGAAAGTATTCAAGTGGGACCACATATT